GTCCTTGGGGTCAGGTAATTTTTTTTTCTTCGTGAAGCTTTTTTTGATACTGCTAGGACTGCGGTTTGTGGTGATGTGAATGCCGGCCTTGCGGACTAACACTTTTTTTTATGTATAAATTTTTTTTCGAAGGAAAAGGAACCGGTGCACGCCACACGGCTTGGCGTGTGAAAATGACTGGGCACAGCGGGCCGGGGGAAACAGTGTTATGTGTGCGGGTGTTGGTGTCGACAACGGGCCCCCATTGCCGGGGTGGTTGGTGGGCGTAGTGGAAAAGGTGCCGCCTTTGCATTTGCGTGGGCGCAGCAGCACATGCCTGTTTGTTGTTTCCTTGCGGATTCCGAAGGTGCGATGGGGGGCGGTGCGGGTGCGCACAGGCCCCGGACGCCCCCGAAGAAACCCGGGCTTCCTAACCCCCCTGCCCCGTTTCCCTGGAGTTCGTTGTTGTGCCCCCTTCACATCTGCTATTCCCCTCCTTTTTTCGTTCTTTCGTTGTTGTTGTTGTTGCTTTTTTTGGCTTTGCTTTTTGTGTGGGGGCAACGACGTCTAGACTGGCAAGAAGACTGCTCGAGCGAATACACACAAACGGGAATGGAGGTGGCTCCCGATGCGCGTCCCGCTGCGGAGGAACCGCAAGGAAACGTCCACTCCCCACCAGAGGAGGCTCCCGCATTCTGCTCGGCGGAGAATCTGAAGGTGGCCGCGGTGCAGGCGGTGGGCGGGTCGCTGCACGGGTTCTCGATTGGCTTCGTTGGCGTGTACGCCTATTTGTACCTGATGACGACTGACTGCTCCATGTACAAGTCGCGGACGGCCTGCGACACCGTATTGAACGCGAAGTGTGGGTGGAACGCGACTCGAGGGAAATGTGGCTGGAGGAGCTTCACTTGTTATTGGGCCTACGGCAAGAATAAGGCGCCGTGCCTCGCGGACGACAGGTGCAAGTGGATGTACGGCGACAAGGAGTGCAAGAACCCGATTGGCTACAGCGCAGTCTATAATGGTATCTTCGCCGGTGCGATGATACTCGGTGCGCTGCTTGGGTCGATCTATGCCGGACAATTCGTCGCGCGCTTTGGGCACAAGGTGTCGTTTCTGGTTATTGGCATCGTTGGCGTTGTGTGTTCTGTGCTGTACCATGTTTCCTCGGCAACGGATGAGTTCTGGGTGCTGTGTGTTGGTCGGCTGCTGATCGGCGTCGTACTCGGTCTTGTTTGCGTTGTCTGCCCCATGTATTGCGATCAGAACTCACACCCGAAGCTCACTGGCGTGGACGGTGTTCTGTTCCAGGTGTTTATTACGTTTGGCATCATGTTTGCTGCCGCGATGGGTTTGGCGCTTGGGCAAAGCGTGCAGTTTGACGAGGACACCAAGATGCAGGCCCGCATGCAGGGCTACTGCGCCTTCTCTACGCTGCTTTCGGTTCTCATGATCGTGCTTGGCATTTTCCTGGGCGACAGCAAGACGAAGTTTGCGACCGGGAAGCGCGAGGAGGAGGAGGAGGACGACGAGGCGCTGGACCCGAATGAGTACGGCTAC